TTTACTTTGGATAGTTGGTCAAACCAGCGAGGAAAAACTGAGTATGGCCAATAAATAGCCCAACAACATTATTGCTTGAGTCACCATAAGCAAAGGCCCATCCAAGAGACCAATAACCAATGATGGCAATACCTTAAGCACTTACTGCTAAATTCCAGGAAGCAATAAAATAAGCACAAATGGAAGGAGACTGACATGAGTCGAGTAGATTTTTAATGAGAATATTTGTAGTGTTCTTGCTGCGGACTGCTCCTGCTTCAAGAAAAGCAAAACCGCATTGCATCACTGAAATCGTAATTTTAAGTCTTTCATTTATCAAGGGCTTAGGAGTTTAGAAACATACAAAAAATGATTAAGGCCATTGAGCATAGGAAGAACGCATTATCGTTTTCTGAAAAATCCTTTTGCATCTGATAGATCTCATTACGAAGTTCTATTATCTCTGCTGTGTAGTTCTCTCCACTGGACATTCTGCAGATAAATGTAAATGGAGGAAGACGTGGTCTTAGCTCATCGAATCAACTATCTCTCTGAGCAGAATACTCGGAGGTGAACCGAATTTGAAAAGTACGCATATCATTTAGGCTTCTGATGTATTCAATCAAAAGTATAAGTGGCTGTTTTAGAGTGAAAAATATCTGCGTTAATGTTAGACCGTTAATGTTAAAAGCAACCTGTAAATCATACAGCGTAACATCAATTTTTCGAATGTTTGCCAAAATGTAAGAATATCAAAGTCCTATAACTCTTTGTTATTTGATAAGGTTTAAGAAGGATTACAGGATATTGATGCCAACGAGCCCAGCCTTACTCGCCCTTGAAGTGCATATATTATGAAATTAACATGCGATGAGCAGACAGAGCAAAATAACAAACCAATGCAAATTTTTTTGACTCCATTTTTTGAATTCAACAACTTGTTTCCAAGCTGTGTCAACTTATTTATTTTTACGTTAATTTTTAATCTGAAATAAACTTCGCAATCTCAAATTTTAGATTTCCGGCAAACTTTTCGGTATAATACACGGACTCTGCATTCATTTTGTACGGTCAACCTTATGTGTGGATAGGGTAAAGCTTGAAGATCGAAATCATTTTTCACATAACTTGGCCAAATGTT